TTGCTTATTGATGTGAGCCTGTATTGCAATGAATTTCACTCTTAGGACTGCCGTTGCTGCATCCCAAATAAGTTGGTATGGTGTGTTTTCATTTTCCTTTGTCTCCTGATAATAATTGATTTCTTCTTTAATTTCTTCAATAATCCATTGTTTGTTCAGTAGCATGTTGTTTAGTCTCCAGATTTTTGCCCCTTTCCCAGCTTTATTCTTGTAGTTGATTTCTAGTTTCATAGCATTATGATCCAAAAAGATGCTCGATATTATTTCAACCCTTTTGAACTTATTGATGCTTGCTTTGTTTCCCAAGATATGGTCTATTCTTGAGAATCTTCCATGCACACCTGAGAAGAATGAGTAACCTGCTGTTTTTGGATGAAGTGTTCTATATATATCTATTAAGCCCATGTGCTCTAATTTTTCGTTTAATTCTGTAATTTCCTTGTTGATTTTCTGTCTGGATGATCTATCCATTGGTGGTAATGGGGTGTTGAGGTCCCCTACTATTATTGTATTGTTGTTGATGTCTCCTTTTAGTTTTGTTAATAGTTTCTTTACAAATTTTGGTGATCCTATCTTGGGTTTGTATATATTTATAAGTGTTATGTCATCTTGGTGGAGTGTGCCTTTTATCATTATATACTGCCCCTCTTTATTTGTTTTGCTGTGAAGTCTACTTTGTCTGATATAAGTATGGCAAGACCTGCTTTGTTTTGTTCATTATTAGCTTGGAGTATTGTCTTCCATCCCTTCACTCTGAGTCTGTGTTTGTCTTTGGGGCTGAGATGTGTTTCCTGGAGGCAGCATATTGTTGGGTCTTGTTCTTTGGTCCATCTTGCCACTTGTGTCTTTTGATTAGAGAGTTCAATCCATTTAGATTTAGAGTGATTATTGAAACGTGGGGGCCTACTGCTGCCGTTTTATCACTTGTTTTCCGGTTCTTTTGCATTTCCTTTGTTTCTCGTCCCATGATTTTTGGATTCCTAATTCAAGTAGGTAAATTTCTGTATTGGCTTTCTTCTTATTTGTAATTTGTGTCTTTATTCTTGTTATTTGTTTAGTGGTGACCAGGTGGTTTGTATAACACATCTCGTAATGAGATAGTCCTTTTTCTGGTAGCCTCTTATTTCCTTAAATTAAAACATTCCATCCCTTTTCTCTTCCCTTTCTAGGTTGTTATTGTCAGATTTTTTTTTCCTCTTCTTTTTTGTGTTGTGAGTTTGTGTTTAAAATGACTAGGTTATATTTATTCTTGGTGTTTCCGTTCCCTTTATCTTTAATGTTTTATTTAACTTCTGCTAACCTCTCCTGATGGAGAGCTGCTACTTTCTGTTGTTGTCCTTCTGCTTATCTCCTTTGTTCTGGATTTTGTAACCCCTTTCCTTTTTTTTATTTTTCAGGTATGAGGTTCTTCCTGAGCATTTCTTGAAGAGGAGGTTTTGTGGCAATGAATTACCTTAACTTTTGTTTATCTGGGAAAGTTTTTATTTCTCCATCATATTTGAAGGATATTTTCACTGGGTAGAGTATTCTTGGCTGCAGGTTTTTGTCATTCAGAGTTTTGAATATTTCATTCCAATCTCTTCTAGCCTGTAAGGTATCTGCTGATAAATCTGCTGATAGCCTTATGGGGTTTCCTTTGTAACTTATTTTCTTCTGCCTGGCTGCCCTTTGTATTTTCTCTTTGTCGTTGACTTTTGCTAGCTTCACTACTATATGCCTTGGGCTTGGTCATCTTGCATTAATAAAGTTTGGAGATCTATTGGCTTCTGTCACATGAAGTTCCATCTCTCTTCCCAAGTTTGGAAAGTTCTCAGCCATTATTTCTTTGAACAGGCTTTCTGCCCCCTTCTCCTTCTCTTTTCCCTCTGGTATACCCATAATCCTTATGTTTCATCTCCTAATTGAGTCAGATAATTCTCTGAGAGTTTCTTCATTTCTTTTTAGTCTTAGTTCTCTCTCCTCCTCTGTCTGCAGCATTTCTATATTCCTATCATCCAAATTGCTAATTCTCTCCTCCGTATTATCTACCCTACTGTTCAGAGAGTCCAGATTTTTCTTAATCTCCTCCGTTGTGTTCTTCATCTCCAGTATTTCTAATTGGTTCTTCTTTATAGTATCAAGCTCTTTTGTGGCATAGCTCCTGAGCTCATTGAGTTGTCTATTTGAATTCTCTTTTAACTCGTTGAGTTGTGTAATAATGGCTGTTTTGAATTGATTGTCATTTAGGTTATAGATTTCATTGTCTTTGGGATTGTTTTCTGGGTACTTGTCATTTTCCTTCTGTTCTGGAGATTTAATATATTTTTTCATACTGCTTGATGGTGTGGATTTGTGCCTCCACATAGAGATAGAGTTTAGTCGCTGCTTCCACTTGTTGCAACTGGTGTCGTGGGGGAGCAGCTGTTAAGACTGCACCGACCAGGAACCCTGTCAGCTGTTACTGACTGGACCTGGGCTCCTCCTCATAGTCACAGTGGTCCTGTGGGGCCCTCCTCCGTTATGGGGGCAATCGCAAGGGGACCTCAGGCTGCTGGTGCCTACTGTTGCAGCCCACCTAGATGCACTCCCTCCTTGGGGTCTGCAGTGGTGTTATGGGCTTTCCCAGCAGCCAGGAGCAGGATCACCTATAATCGCCGCTTTATCCCTAGCAGAGCCTACAAGATCACGCTTGTCCACTATAGGTCCCAGCAGAGCTATGGGTATGTTCTGCAGTCTGTGGTTAGCTCACCTAGCTGTGCTACTTTTGCCCCAGGGCCTTCCAGCCATGTGATTGCCAGTCGGGACCTCTCCACTAGTGCTGTGCAGAGGCTTTCACTGAGGCTGCTGTGGGAACCTGGACTTCCCCCCTGGGCCACGTAGCCATTCCACTGGAGCTCCACCCAGCCCCACACCACTCCCACGGAATCTCTGGGAGCCCCTTGCCTGGTCTGGGACACTGGCCAGAGTCCGTGGGCCTGGCGGTGGCTGGCAGACTACTGCCCTGCTGGAAATTCTGCTCTTTGGGAGCTTCCTGGCATTCCAAATGCTGGGCGGGGCCTCCCCACTAATGGCGAGCAGAGGCTTTCCCTGCTGGCAGGTGCGGGACCCTGGATTTTCCCCCTGGGCCATGGAGCCGGGCGCTGGAGCTCCACCCAGTCCCCAAGCACGTCCACGGGAAGTCTGGGCACCTCTTGCACCATCCGTGCACAACGGGAGACCATGGGCCTGGCAGCGACTGGCGGGCTGGTGCCCTGCCGGGGAATCCGCTCCCTGGGAGCTTCCCTTTGTTCTGAATGCTGGGCGGTGCCTCTCTGCTAATGGCGAGTAGAGGCTTTCCCTACCGGTGCCTGCGGGACCCTGGAGTTTCCCCCTGGGCTTAGATGTAATCGTGGGGGGCTTAGGTAGGGCTGTTGTCACCTGTTTCCACTGTCGCTCTGCCGGTGAGTGCACACTCCCTCACTTGGTGCGTGGTGATGCTATGGGGGAGTCCACTGGAAGAGAGCCTCTTTCAGGTACTAGGCTGTCCGGAGGTCGGGGGTCAGAGAGTTTTCACTTATTTCCACCTCCTCCCGGGAGGAAGTCCATCCGCCTTCTGATGTATAGCAGCACGGGTCTCTCAGGTGTCTTGAGATGCTATCTGGTTATCGTTTATTAACCGGTGAATGTCCAATTAGTTGTAGATTCAAAGGGGGAGAGACAAAGAAGACCACTCACTCCGCCATCTTGGTCCCGCCTCCTGCATTTTACATTTTTAACTCACTTATTCCTTACAACAACCCAGCAAAGTGAATACTGTTATTTGCATCTTTCAGATGGTGAGTGGAGACACAGAGATGGGGTCAGGGTAACCGCAGACAGAGCTACTAATCTGGAAAGTCAAGATTGGGACCCATGCAATCTGATTGCAGGATTCAAACTCATATCCACTATACTGTGTTGTGCTAGACGCCTCACAAGTATTTATTTCCACTGAAAAGGAAGTTACTTTATTTCTGTAAGAGACTAATGCTTTGCTAGGAATGATGGATTCAAAGCTTAAGTGATATAGTCTCTAATGCTGGCTTAAGTTAAAGTGGGAATCTATTTGAAGGTCTTTTAGAAGGTGACTAAAATATATGATGGTTAATGTGTTTTCCTGCTGATTAGTTGACATGAGTCTAAGCACAAATAAATTTGATCTTGAAAAGTAAAAATTGCAGTTTAGACTAATTTAGGACGTGGCGCAGGATCACGTCTGCTAATCCCTGCTCCACGTTATCTTTGTGCTTCTGGCTGATACAAGACGCAGTTACTGCCTGTGCTCTCCTTCTCCAGGAAACTTAGGTGCTTGTTTCTTTGCGTTGTTTCTGTAGTACCTGTTCACACAAAAAAATGTTTCCTATACATTTTTGGTAGCTACTCAGTAGGTGAGCCTTCAAAGGAGAAAAGGTGAAAAATTAGAATTCAGTGTCTGTTCATTTAGTCAGAGATTTTAAATTGTATTTTTGTTGTTAAAAGAAGAGACACAGGCTTGCCAGGTGCAGGCAGATGTGTGGTGCAGGCAGATCCGCGTCCTTGTGCTCGGTTGTCACTCCACCCATTATTTCAGTGAAGGAGGTTTTTGAATTCTAGAATTGCAAACTACTAAACAGATAACACACATGTTTATTTCTACCTTGTGGCAAAGATAACGATAATTACATGTAATATGTAACTGTTAATTCTAGACTTTGCTTTAAGTATATAAATTTTAGAAAATGAACGTAGCCTCTTGTTGCAATAGCATTTGATTTTTGTTAGTATGAAAATTTGAATATTTAGATTCTAGTTCATTGCTAAACTTCACATTTAATATTGTATATACCCTTTTTCTCAGTTTTAGAAATATCTATACTGTCATGACTTTATGCTTGAATCAATTTTAAGGCATCAAGTTTTAATATGTTGGAAAGTTCTAGTATTGCTAATGTTGTGATTTAAGAAAATTGTCACTTTTTTTTTTTACCACAGATGCTAAATAATGTGTCATTTTGTTTTCTTAGGAACTTCCTGCACCATTACTTAATGATAATTGTAAAAAAGAAGTTGATGAAGACGTATGTAGTCATAAAACACCAGAATCTAACATTAAGATGAAAATAGCTTGGCGTTACCAGTTATTACCCAAGATGGAGGCAAGTCAACTTTCAAACTATTTCTAAAATTTGAAAATGTATTTGTTTCGTTTTATAAAATCTCTTGTATGATTCTTTAAATGCAATACAATGTATATTTATTTAAATAACTAGATATTTCTTTTGTAGAGTATTTTATCAAGATGATATTTCTTGAAAATAAAATTATGGCAAATTATTTTTTTACCAAAATAGATTATTTTATTTCTTTCATAATCTTTATATAGAATCTTATATTCTTGTGTTGCAAGCCAGAGTAAGAACTAATTAAACCATTCCTATGGGCCAACCCCGTGGCCTCATGGTTAAGTTCAGTGTGCTCTGCTTTAGCAGCCCGGGTTCAGTTTCCAGACGTGGACCTGCACCACTCAGATGTTAGCTCAGGGCGAATCTTCCTCAGGAAAATAAAAAGAAAATTCTATGACTACATGTAAATGTTCAAGGAGAATGTTGGTTCTCTGAAACTACTATTTTTATTTCTATACATTTCAGCCATTACACTTTCAAACTCAGCTATTTGGTAACCTCACCTATCCAGGATAGCCTAGTAACAGATGTCAGTGAGTCTCCCCACTGAAGCTCATGAACTCTGCTCCTAGTGAAGGCTCTGTTCTTTTATTAGCTCCCTCATTTGATTGTTTGCTTCATTTGTTTTTCAGAGAAGTTTAATATCTACCAGACATTATCATACTGGTAAAAAAAAGAGAGGGAAATTCTGTCTGAGTAAGACATGATTCCCATAGTCCACCCTTCTCTGATCTTCCCCAGGGACGTCCATGTTACGTTTCCTGAGGACAGAGGTGTGTTCACAGTACTTCTCAGCTGCACACGTGGATTCGATTTCCTGTTTCCCCTGCCCCCCACCAATGCCAGCCGACTGTTAATCAGAGTGCCCCCCTGCCAGGCTTAGGACAGCCGTAGAATTCTCTGCAGTGTTCTGGGTGGGCACTGCCAGTCAATGAGAGTCAGGATGTGAAGCTTGCAGTTTGCGATAGAAACTTCTCACAATTGTATGCAAGACCTGTACAGCCTAAGCCCAGCCTCCTCTCCCAGTGTCCTCCCAGAGTTCTGTGTGTACGTATAAAAGGCCACATGCCCTCCTGCCATGAGAACTGCTCCTTTCGAGTGGCTTATGCTTCTGCTGGTAACGCTTTCCACTTCCTTATTCACCAGCTCATCCTTCTCCAAGTGCGAATGTTCCTACCTCTGACAGCTTTCCATACTTAATTATCCGGTCCTTAATTATCATTTCCATAGCACTTCATGTATTTTAAAGTTCTTCTATACATTGTATTATAGTTGTTAGTCTAACTCTCTCCTCCAGCAGACAGAATTCTCTATGAGGGCAGAACGTTTGTCTCACTTTCTCTTGTATCTCCAGCACCTATGTTAATGCCCAGATAGTAAATCTTTAGTGAATGATAAATGTATTTATTCATTGTCACATATATTGATTTAAGCGTCAGCTGTGTACCAAGTTTAAAATATGTTGTAATATGTGTGTATTAAGCAATGGTAAATTATTCTAATTTAGATGGGAAAGCTATTTGAATAGTATGATTTTTTCTTCTTCTTTCTTTTCTTTGATGAGGAAGATTAGCCCTGAGCTGACTGCTGCCAATCCTCCTCTTTTTGCTGAGAAAGACTGGCCCTGAGCTAACATGCATGTCTATCTTCCTCTACTTTATATGAGGGATGCCTACCACAGCATGTCCTGATAAGCAGGGCATAGGTCCACACCTGGGATCCGAACCTGTGAACCCCAGACCACTGAAGTGGAACGCACGAGCTTAACCACTATGCCACTGGGCTGGCCCCAATTTTTAAGCTGTGATTTAAATAACTGTGAGCAAACTATAAACTGCGGAGAGGATATTTAAACTCAAAGAGTAAAATAAGGAATAAATTTTCCCTGTATATAAAGGACTTCTAAAATGAATAAGGAATAGTCTACCAACTCAATTTTTAAAAACAGGCAAAACATGAAAAGGAAATTTAGGTGGCCCTTAAACATATAAAAGCAGATGCCCAATTTCAGTTACAGTAAGAGAAGTACAAATTAAAACTACGCTGACTTTCCCTTTTTCTCTTATCAGATTGTTGATAGTCTAAAATGTTGGTAAGATGCTAAATCAGCAAAGATGAGGGAAATTAGTAGTCTCAGACTTTGCTAGTGGGAAACTTCTGTGGAGGGTAATTTAGTAGTATCCTTCCAAGTTACAAAAACATATACCCTTTGATCATTTTGGAAATTTACATGACAAGTGTATTTTCTCAGGTGTAAAATGAAATATATATGAGCTATTTATGCGCCATATTTTTTAATAACAAAAGATTGGGCATAACCTAAATGTCCATCAGTAAGCAACTAATTAAAGAAATTATGGTGTCTGTGTATGGTAGAATACCATAAATCTGTATTAAAAACTAAAAGGAAGCTCTGTGTCATCAGAAGTCATTGCAGGCATAGCCTAGCTTTTGGATGTGATTGAGAACTGGATACCAGGAGCCAGAATAAATGTAGTTGTTCTGCTCAGGAAAGTGTGAGATGAGTGACACAGATTAAAACAGACAAGGAATGTAGGACTAGCACTTGAGAACTCTAATAGCAGAGAACTTCATGTCTTTGATCTGGCAGATTCATTTAAGTAAGTGGGCTTAGTGGTGACTCTTTTGTAGAGGGTGACCGTATTTTAACTTTTCTACTGGTATGTTCAGAGTCAATAATGAACATAAGCTCTAAGTTACATTTAACTTTTTTTTTTTTTTTTAAGATTTTATTTTTTTCCTTTCCAAAGCCCCCTGGTACATAGTTGTATATTCTTCGTTGTGGGTCCTTCTAGTTGTGGCATGTGGGACGCTGCCTCAGCGTGGTCTGATGAGCAGTGCCGTGTCCACGCCCAGGATTCGAACCAACGAAACACTGGGCCGCCTGCAGCGGAGTGCGTGAACTTAACCACTCGGCCACGGGGCCATCCCCTACATTTAGCTTTTTTGTGAAGACAATATGCCAATTCAGTTTTAGACTATGTATGTCACTTGTGTCTTCATTTCCTTTATTTTCACTCCTATCTCAACTAGATTTTGGTCTTTTCATTGGTCACTAACATTCTTCAAGTGAAATTGTCAATGAAAATGCAAGTAGCTGAAATTTAAGCCGTTTTTCTTACTGCTTGTTATGAAATCAGTTTAAAGTTGGGGAGAAAGTTCTTTGTTTTTTTATAATTCATTGTTTCTTTATGTATTGTAATTGTAGGTGGTCTGCCTGCCCCTTCTAGGTAGAAGTGCACAGCTTATTCTGTTCTTCCTTATAGAGTGTGGGGTGTCTCCTTTGATTATCTTTTGGAGCCAACCTCTCAGAGGTTCCATATTAATGCACAAACCCAGTGCTTAGTGCTCTAGGTTTGCAAAGTTGTGATTCTTAGAACGATCTTTCCTAGGTGACTTACTGCCCCGTTTCTTCAGGTCTTTGCTAAAATATCACTTCATCAGGAATGTCTTCCTTGGTCGCTCTGTGTAAAATAAAACTGCTCTCTGTATCGTCTCCTTTCACCGTCTTCTTTTCCTTCAGGGCACTTATTATCTCCAGGCAGACAGTACAGCATCTGCCTTGTCCTACCCGAATGTGAGCTTAGTGAGAAGAGGGACTTTGACTTCTGTTTTGCTGGCATATCATGGCTGCTCAATAGTGATTTGTTGAATACATAGTGAATGAATTCTATAGTATGTGAATAAATGTGAAACTGACTTAAGTTACATTAATATAAATAAAATAATAGTTTATTTTGAATTAACACCCAGTGGTCAAAGTTAAGTTAACTGGTATTTACAAGTGAGTTCTGTCAAGTTTAGAAAATAGAACCTTCTTCTGGCCTCTTTGCATTTCTCTGAAATGTCAGCAGCATGTATATTCACCTGTCACAGAGATCTTGCATATGGTGATTTGCCAAGACTGGTAGACTTTGGTGGGCTCTCATCATCCTCTGCTTTGTAAGTTCAGACTCTACTTTGCTATTACCACTTTAAAAACAACAAAACGCTGGCTTTTCTTTATTTTACTTGGGACAAAACATAGTTAACACCATTATGAATAAAGATTAAACACATAGTCGAAGACTAGCCGTGTCGATTATCAGAAATGCCTTTTAATATAAGTTGTCACCAGGTCCTAAGCATGTAGTCATATTCCCACTTAGGAAATGCAGAAAAGGACAAGAATGTGCACACATAAGTCAGTAACAACAGCTCAGCAGAGCATAAAGCAAGCACTTCTTCCACTTGGAGGGAGGGTCTAGTTTTAAAAAGTCCCCATCCCTCATCCTGTGATTTGGTTCTCTCTCCCAGGTGGACATGCCCTCTTCTTCCCAATCTGGTCATCAAACCCTGTTCCCTCTTCACCCCAAGAATTGCTAGCCTACAGCGCATTCTGAGACTTCATTTCTTCAGTACTGTAGAGCTCCAGCACCAAGGCCCACAATGGCTCCAGCGATTCATGACCGTGTGTTAGATCTTGATTACATTAAATCCTCATTACATACTGTGGCTTTCTGTCTCAGTGCTTCAGCCACAACAGTCCTCTGATGGATGTGTGCATGTTGTAGGTGACGACAATAAGGCAATAGAATTACAAAGGATAGAGATGGGCCTTCTGATTCTCTAGTGAATCATGACACAGGAATAATAATAACATTTCTGTAGTGCTTTACAATTTACAAAATATTCATCACCACTGTTGCGTTAGATTCTCACAGCGGCCTAGTGAAATTGCTGTTATTTTAGCTCCAATTTCTGGTGGTTGAACTGAGCTCAAAGTGGTTTAGTAACCATGTGGATTCTTGCTTTGTTACACCACCCTGAGAAACAAGAAATGATAACAGTAAAAGAAAATGTCTTATTTAGACTGTTTATTTGTGGTGCAGCTTTTGTCTCAAAGTTTGGTTCTTTCTGACACACTGAAGGAGAGGGTGGTATTGTTTTGTTGCTCTGTGCTCCTCCTGGCCTGGCATCAGAGTTCATTTTCCATTAGCATGGTAAATTTTTACTGTGCCATTCTCTATTACTCTTCCATGTTGACAGTGTTAAAGGTACTTTACGAATGTGAAGTAGAAGTTTGCATAATGGAAAACTAAAGCAACATGTTCTTATCAAACTGAGTAAATGGCTAGTTATTGATGGTAGTTTTATTTTTTTTTAATAGTTCTGTTTTTTTGTGGAGTTGACAGTTTTTCATGGAGTAATAGTATTATTAGATTTAAAGCATTTAGTTATTTTTTTAGAGGAAATACTGTAAGTCCTTGTTTTATAATTCTAGGCTGCAAAAGATTTCACAGCGCTTCAAAAATCTGATTATATGTTAATGCTATGTCTAGAGTAGAAAACTTACAAAATTGTTTTTTCCTGTAAAAGTATATTTATTTTTCATTTTCATTTTTTATTGAAGGATTAAAGTTTTTCATCATTAATAAAATTCTTACTGTCTACCTTGTGAATATTTTAGTTGCCATAGCTAATCTTAATTTCTAAAAAAATTAGTAACTTAATTATAATAAGAAAAGCTTCCAAATTTATTTTTAGGTTTTAACGAATTATTTGTGTTCTATATGTTAAGTGTCCCAGCATGAAATCAATTTTCGGTCTTGATTCATCCCAGATCTGAGATTTCTATCGCATTAATATTATAATTAGAAACAGTAATAGAGATGGCAACTTAGAAAGCATGCTTTGCTTCTTGGCGATTTAGCGTATTTCTCTGCGTGCATAAGACTTCAAGGACCTTCAGTCCACTAATAAATTTATTAAGTCAAACTTAAAAGAAGTGAAAGTCTCTCTTTCTTCCTCTCTCCCCATGGCCAGTCTGCTAAAATAGATTATTCATGCTTGTTTGATTCAGGTAGGCCTTTGCAAGCTTCCCTACTAGGCCTGGGAATGTGGTACATTGATGCCTTTTCAGAGGCTCTGACATAGACCAAGCTTTTATTGCATGGTGTTTTATTATTACCAAATCCTGGTCTCCACCCAGTTTGTAGGCACTCTGCTTATTCTTTTGAACCAGGAAAGGTTATCACCTACCTTAATCCATGCAGCAGCGTGGATTAAGGACACCAGTGTGCCCCAGGATTCTCAAAGAGGATCCTGGAAACTTCTTGTTTCTTCTTTTTTGCTGTCTTTACTAAATTCTATTGGGCCTTAGGAGGATTTGCATCTGAAATGGGCAACCTGGTGTTTTTCTCAATGAAGACATCAGATCAAAGTTCAGTTAGTCAAGGCCTTTCTAAAACATTAAGGGGGCTTGGACTTACACAGTAAAAAGATGAGCTCTAGCAGAGATTGCAGTAGAAACATTCTGAACTATAATCCGGATAAAGAATAGATTATAGGCCAAAGAACAGACCTTAGTTAAATTGCTTTAGACTAATAACTTTATGTTTAAAAACTTTACACCCTACTCTTAAGAAACATATTTTAATGTCACATAATTTATTTTTCAGTACTTTCATGGTCAGTAGATAAATGGTGTTTTGGGAAGCATACTTCTGGATATGTTGTATTGAAAAGATTAGATTGAGCAAATTGATAGTTCTCTTCATTGCGGAAAATAAATAGTGCCTTATGGAGGGATGAACAGTCATTTTATTTAGAAAATAAATGTCGAACCCACAGACTATGAATCTGAGAATAATATTTCTATTAGACATCACATTTTTTTATTCTGTGTAACTGTGTAATTTCATGTTTGTAGGCATTAAATTTAAGAACATGAGTCCTTGAAGTCTTCAGATGCAAATATGTAGTGTCAAGCAAATGCCTCTTATCTAAACTACAGAGTTGTCAGTTACCTAGTAAACTCCGTTAGGAACCTGCTGTGGATAGTTTTCTAATTTCTGCAGATCATCTAATTTTGTTGAATGTTCTGAAATTTGTCTGTCTTGTAGTATTCAGGACAGTGGAAACTATGTAAATTTAGATCAGAGATTTCATTAGAGTTATTGCCAAGTGGAATCTGTTAGTAGTTCAGCTTGAGTTAGAGGTGTCTGTATATTTCTGATGTGCTGAATGAAAGAAATCAGCCCAAGTCCATTCAAAGCAATGTAATTATAGTAAGAATGTTACAGTCCTGGGCTTTTACTATCCTATGTAAATAAATTCAGCTTCAGTAGTTATTAGTTTCTTATGAGAAAAATAATTTGTTGGAGAAATTGTTAGTAGAGAGCACAAAAGAGAAACTATCAATGAACTGATAATGACTGTGCCAGATTTCTGGTTTATCTAATGTAGCTTATGTATATTCTCCTGCTTTACCATATGCCTTGTTCCCATCTGGAGTACCTAGTACATTTTATACTATAAGCCTAATTTTAAGTTTGTAAGAAAATTTGAATATATATACACACTGTCTTGTGAGAATCTAGTTTTAAAATGATGCTCTGTTTAATATATTTAAAATAGCTAGTTTCTTTTGGGCCCCTCACCAATGACTTAATTTGGCTTAAGTTTTCATTAGTTCTTAGCAACTGCATATTTAATTTGTCATTAAAACCTGAAATCCTTACATTAAGACTTATGTATATTAAATTTTTGAACTTAGGAAGGTATACAGTATAGTAAAAAAGCAAAGAAGTGTCTAAATTCCTATCAAACTTAGGGAACCACCAGGTTCTTCCCCAGGAGTGAAGAAACATAGAAGATGAAAGGGTTGCTTTCTAACCACTGAGAATTTAAAATAACAACACTTGTGTGCTTCTTTGAAATTTAATAAGTCTGTGTATATCAGCTCTTCCTTATTAGCATTAAAATGTATAAATATATCAGTGTTTTGCTGAATGTAGGAAGAATAAATTGTAGTTTTAAAAAAACTAATTTTTTAGCAACGAATACGGGTTTTCTTAACAGGTTGGACCAATATCATCTTCAATATTCGGTCACTATTATGATGCATCAAAAAGGATACCGCAGGAACTAATTGAGGCTTCAAAGTGGCATGGATTTTTTCTTCCAGAAAAAATATCTTCAACTCTTAGTGTAGAATCCTGGTAAGTTAATGGCTCAATTGTGGTTTCAAAGATTAATGGATGCATTTTTACCACGTCTTTTGGAAGAAGGCATACTAAAGGTACATATCCTAATAATCAGTGTTAGTTTTCCACATAATCTATAACCTTAATTGTGTGTGTTTTATATTATTTCATTACATGTGGTTTTTTTTCCTGGTCCTGTAACTGTTGGACTTGCCATTACTGTTAATTTGTGACTTGAAAAGTCTGGATACCAACTTTACAATACCTGCTGTTTTTATTTTCAAGAAAATGTGGAATGATTCTAAATCAGGATCTTTCAGCCCTAAATGCAAGTGGATACCCAAGTATTACTTATTGATAAGAAGAGCAGTGAAAATGGCGTAAAGTAGTGCTGTTGCCCCATGTTTTTCCATAAGTGCTCTTTCAGAAAGTAAACAAGTGTATGTTTTCCAATATTTTATTTATTAAGGCTTTCTATTTCTAGTTGTGCTGTAAATAAAACAATCTGTAGTTTTTCAGGTGACTAAAGGGAATTTAGGGTTTGAGTTTTACAATGAAGAGTTTTAAGTATTAAACCAACACAACATGTCTATAGTGCTACTGACTTTATCATGGCAAAACTCTGAAAATTACAGTATTTGACATTGAATAATTTATAAAGTGTTAAGAATATTTCATTTCAATTTTTATTGCAGTGGGATCAAAGGAAGGAAATCCATGGAAAAGGCTGTTGGCTCTGCTTTCTTTCATACTGTAAAACCATTAGTTTAAAAGTAAGATGAGTTATTAAATAGTGATTTAATAGACAGGAAGTTGTGAACTGAAATGACTTAAAAATCTAGAGTCTCTTTTCCAGAAATATTACCTGAGAATTTAGTGAAGACTATCCTATTTATTTTTATTAAAACTGTTTAAAGAAAACAAACATTCTTCACTTTGCTGTGATGTTCCCCAGTCTTTGGCTGGAGACTTACCAAAAGTGGTCCTTGCATGCTGCCTTAGCACCAACAGTTGCCACTGATGCACGACTGCCAAGTGTGGGTCCCGCTGCTGTGCACTCTACATTTGTTATCTAGTATAATCCTTCTCCCAACTCTGTGAAAGCCTGAATTCCAGGGCCAGCCAAGTGGTGTAGTGGTTAAGTTTACGCACTCCGCTTCAGCAGCCCAGGGTTCGTGGGTTCAGATCCTGGGCACAAGCCTGCACACTGCTCATCAAGCCATGCTGTCGTGGCGTCCCACATAGAAAGTAAAGGAAGATAGGTACAGATGTTAGCTCAGGGCCAGTCTGCCAGGAAAAAAAAAGTATATATTCTGTTTTCCAGAAGAAGAAACTGCTTCACAGAAGCAGGTTATCTGAGGCTCAACTATTAAGTGGTAGAGCCAGGATTAACGTAAGTCAGATCCCTCTCTATTTCATTTTGCTTTACTGCTTCAGAAGATTTTGGTGTCTTTCGCCTTTACCTTCCTGTGTTATGGAGGAAAGAGCACTGATAAAGAAATTTAAAAATCTGAGTTCTGATACTGAGTCCATCCTACTGTAAAACTTGGGCGAGTCCCTTAAATTCAGTGAAAATAAATATCCTCCTGTGAAAAATGGGGAAGGGGGGCAGAATACCACCTGTCGTACCTACATCACTAATTTGTTGTTAAGTTTGAATGATTGTATTGATTATACTGTACTAGTTCCTGATTTTGCCATTCACTAAACCAGACATCCATATACATACACGTTTGGGAAATAGGTCAAAATAAATTTTCCATGATTTCCCAGGCAGTGAATGGTGGAACCCAGAATCAAAGTCCTTTCTTTCTGACTTAGAAACCTGGATTAGCAATAATGCTGTGCTGCCTCCATTCATGGAGTGCTTAGGCAAATGAAAAATGTAAATTGTACATTAAGTATGATGTAAGTAAATGAGAATAATATGATCTTACTTTTGTAATTAAAAATATATTTTAAGGATAAAACTTTTTTAATCCAGAAAGTACAAGGTTTTTTTCATTCATTCAGCAACTAAAGGGAGGAAGGAATGAACGTTTGTTGAATACCTGTTCCCTGTCGGGCACTGTTCCAGGTATTCGACCATGGGATATCTCATTTAATCCTCCAGACAACCCTCCGAGAGATGTAATACTGTCCCCATTTTGTAGGAAACTTGAGGTAGCTTTCCTGCTGTCGTAGGCTGTACGTGACTAAGCTAACACCCAAACCCATGTCTGCAAAACCTCTGCTCTCCTCTGCCCCAGGCTGCCTCCACTGACTGTGCGGCACACGGACAGCCCACGAGGCTGGGTGCCGGGAGAATTACACGTTGATCGGCTGTGAGGGTCTAGTCCTTTGGCTTTAAAATATATTTTTTCAGAATATTTTTTGAAAGCTAGCAGTTTTGCACAGAATAGGAAAATTTATAGATTTTAATTATCAAGGCAGTATTTCATTTCGTAGTTGTTAACTGATAATGCATTTATTTCATATTAAACTTAAATGCTTAATTAAATGTAATTAAACTTTAAACATGTAATTAAATTAATTTTGAAAATGGCTACTTTACCATGTGAGATTTATTTTAATTTATGAAAAGCGTGTGCTCATTTCACTGAAATGAGCTTTATTGGTTCATTTATAAAACAGTAAAGCTAAGCCTTACAGTTGTCTATACTTTTCCTGTAATTAAGACTAGATGATATCACTGTGTCCTACTATCGTATGTGAGGATACTATATATAATTTCATAATTTGTAAAGGCACTATTGAAACCTGTAAAGATTTTTTTACAGTAAGAAGAACTGAAGGTCATTTAAAATTTGCATTAACCAATTTAAAATTATTGGTGGGTTTGACTCTGGAAAATATTCATACATACAGTTTAAACTTTCAAAATAAAGCTTGGGTATAAAAACCTGAGATATATCACAATAATATTATTCAGATGATTTTATTTTGATATTTTACTGCCATAAATCTGATAATCTGAGTCACAAAACAATGATAGGAAAACTGATTTTGAGAATACTTCTGTAGTCTAAGTTTTCAAAATTTGATGTTTTTTTAAATTAAACTTTGCTAACAAGTTTGCCCAAGTACCGTTCTGTTTCCTCACTAGAAAGATGTTGCCATTTTTCAGGGAATGGATGGTGTCTCAAATTTCTTATTTATTAACAAATCTACTAACATACTGCTTAACCTACTGTTACAGACTGAAGGTTTGTATGCCCCCAAATTCATATGTTTAAGCCCTAATCCTCAGTGTGATGGTATCTGGAGATTGGGTTTTGGCAGGTAATTAGGGTTAGATGAGGTTATGAGGTTGGTCCTTGTCTGATAGGATTGGTGTCCTTAAAAAGAGGGAGAGACACCGAATTCCCCTCTCCATGGGCACACACCCAGGAGAGGCCACGTGAGCACGCAGCAGGAAGGTGGGTGTCTGCAGCCTAGGGGAGAGCTCTCACCAGACACCAGCCATGCTGGCACCTTGGTCTTGGACTTCTGTTCTCCAGAACTGAAACCAAATAAATTCCTGTTGCTTAAGCCACCCAGACTATGGTAGTTTGTTATGGGAGCCCAAGCCAACTAATATAGCCACTATATTGTAAGATGTTACTTTTTTAATTATAGATACGTCAGGTCTTGAATACTGAGTTCAAATACAGTTGGTAATAAATAGAATGAACTTGTTTTGATGTGTTTCTTTGAAATTCAGGATTTTGTTTTTACATACGTGTCCTAACAATAGCTAGTAGATTCTTATATTAGCTAAAAGTTTTGTACTAAGTTGAATCAACTGAATTCTGAAAGAACCAGTTATCTTTCTGGGAAAATTTGTAGAGGAAAATCAATGGAAAGAGGAGAGGAATAATACTTAAGGTTTTAGAAGTCATCCCATTTTCCTTCTCCTGCCACGTCTCTGTGCCAGCCTCAGCGGAAGCTCTGTGTAAGCCTTCTGTGATATTTCCCTAGACAGCCGTAGGTATGCCCCATCCATCTGCTTACTTCTATTCCTACTTCTGTCAGGGCGCTTGTCGCATTACTCTGTGATGGTTCATCTTGCTGCATTCTGTCTTCCCTCTCAGGCACTGGACATCCTTGAGAAAAAAAGGCGTGCTTTCATCTCTCCGTCCCCTGAATCTTGGGCGTAGGTGTTGACTTGATCATTGGTGAATTAGTGGACTGAAGCACAAAGTATAGTGATAACTGGTAGCCTTGTTCTCAACACAAAGATTTAGTGGGATGAAACCAGACTGAAACATAGCCATGTGAGAGTATATTTTATTTCAAAAAAACAGATCTCTTAGACTGAGAAGCAGAGAACCAGAGTGTATTCAGAAGTTGCACTTGGAAAATTCACTCATGAGAAACGAATTTTCCAGGTAAGACTGAAAGTTGAGAACGGAAATCACCAGGTTCTGGAAGTGCTCTGTAAACTGCTGCAGGATACAGTGAGTGAGGTATTTCTGCAAGTCTCAGACCGCGGAAAGGCGAGATGTAAGTGTGAGGAGGGGTTTTGCTGTATACTTACCTGCTGGTGATGTAATCAAAGTGAAAAGATAATGTCTGAAGATGCAGAGTGAGGACTATTATCCTGAGCCTCACTTTGACCGATAGAGGAAATTACCTGCTTCCCTGTTGGCCTCTTGCTGCTCTCTGTCCTTCACAGGCCTTTGGGCACGCAGGGTCTAGTTGATCCTCTCACTCCCCAGGTCGTGTGTGGCCTGCTATCTTCATTACTGCACATGGGGTTTTAAAACAATTATTTCCCACCTCACTCCGCACCCCTCATTCTAGTTGTCTTCACCATAGGCATACTGTCTCTTGTTTGTGGATACCCTTCCAGATTTCTGTTTTTCCTTCAATAAGGTGACTCCTTTGAGCCTTGACTCCTCCCTCCTTCTCACTCCCTTTGTCCAGTCCATCAGCAAATCCTGTCAGCTGTATCTTCAGTATGTCCAGATCCTGATATCTTCTTGCAACCTTCACCTCTTCCATGCCAATCTAAGTCACCCACATTTCTTACC